GAGAGGGAGAGGAAGAGAGAGAGAGAGTAGCAGAGAGATAGAGGTGCGTGTGAGAGAGAGAGAGCTCTGCTGTGTGTGTCGTCCTGTGTGTTTGGTGTGTGTGTGGCCTGTGTATGCATTGTATTAATACTGTGGCACATAAATCCGTTTGATACCAGCCCATATGCAGCATATATGGGAAGGGCGATCATCCAAAAGGATTGGTCCCACATTTATTAAATTTAAGGGTTAAAAAAAACATTATATAAATATATTCTATATTATCCATGACAACAAACATATAGAAATGCCAAATCCTAACAGTAAATGTAGTCGCTTAATGTAAGTATTATAATCACCAAGCCCCTTAATAGCCTCATTCCTCTGGTTGCCACCAGATCTGCAATCGTTCGCACAAAAACTATTAAAGACCATCAATTGAGCACAACGCTGGCTGTGTGAAACACCATCTTTCCATTACCATATACACTGTAGTTTTATTTGAATCAACCCACATTCACACATCTGCTGCTGTAAATACCATTAGTGCATCAATATGCGTATTAATCCACGGAGACCAAGTGAATCTTCAGTTAGTCCCCTCCCCCAAAACATGTTGATAAATCAAAATAATTGTTCTAAAAACTAGAGATGTCAGCAGTTCTGGGAAATTATTTCGCCTTTTTGTAATGAATGAAGCAATATATTTATTACATTTTATATTTATGTTTAGAAGGAACGAAAGGGTTTGTTGCTGAGAGCAGTTGTAGAGTATTAGGAGACAGACTAACCACAACTTGGCGTTTTTTTGGCTATTTCATGAAGATTTGTCTGATATTTCAGTCTTAATAATTTGGTAATAAAGTTCTCCCTGAATGAATTGTAAGTCTACTGCAAGTCCTCCTAAGTGACAGAAACACATTTGTAATGTGTGGTTGGCGGGGAATAACACATCACTCGAGCAGTGAACACCCCCCCACCTGTCCCTGTCATCCTCCGCTTCAAGTTGTAGGCTCTGCACCCACCTCTCTGACTAAACACTCTCACCCAGGTCTGTTGTCTTTTTCTGGTGTCTCCATCGTTTTTATCCTCCATGCTCTCACCTGCGCTCTTTGCTTATCCTCTCGCGCGTCGCTCTCATCACCTTACTTAAAGTCAGTGAAGTTGAATGTCTCAGTGTTTTCAAATGCCATCATCTGAATATAACAGAGTCCTATATTAACGTTTATCCTCCAATTGATAATCTTTATTAATAGTGCTGCAGGCATCTCTGCGATCAACTATGTAGAACAGTGAGCTGAAAGACGATAAAAAGGTTTGCTGAGCTAAGGGGAATGGCATAGTCGGGTGATAAATCTCTGTTGGTTTGTCACTAAACGTTGAGAGATATTTAGCACTTAGCAAACAATGCACCGTGAAGGAGAGGCAGAATCTTTAGTGGTGGGCGGATTGATCCAAA